AACAAGGAAAGGGTGGGAAAACACAAGGAAAGTGTGGGAAGAGCCAAGGGAAAGGACTGGGAGGACACGGCCTGATCCACACCGGCATCCCCAGGGATGATCCCAGGGAAATGTGGGATCAAGACTATTTCCCAGGAAGCCAAGAGCTTCCATCCCACCCTGGGAAAACAGGAGGGAACACAAGGAAAGGATAGGAAAACACAAGAGCCATGGAAAACACGAGAGAGCACAAGGAAAGGGTGGGAAAACACAAGGAAAGAATGGGAAGAGCCAAGAGAAAGGACTGGGAAGACACGGCCTGATCCACATCAGCATTCCCAGGGATGATCCCAGGGAAATGTGGGATCAGGACCATCTCCCAGGAAGCCAAGCACTTCCATCCCATCCCAGGAAAACAGGAAGGAACATAGGGAAAGGGTGGGAAAACACAAGGAAAGGGTGGGAAAACAGGAGGGAACACAAGGAAAAGGTGGGAAGAGCCAAGGGAGAGGACTGGGAGGACACAGCCTGATCCACACCGGCATCCCCAGGGATGATCCCAGGGAAATGTGGGATCAGGACCCTTTCCCAGGAAGCCAAGAGCTTCCATCCCACCCTGGGAAAACACGAGGGAGCACAAGGAAAGGGTGGGAAAACAGGAGGGAACACAAGGAAAGGGTGGGAAGAGCCAAGGGAAAGGACTGGGAGGACACGGCCTGATCCACACCAGCATCCCCAGGGATGATCCCAGGGAAATGTGGGATCAGGACCCTCTCCCAGGAATCCAAGCACTTCCATCCCACCCCTCTCACCCCCCAAAACCTCTCCCAGGGTCTCCATTTCCCCCACGATCCACAGAAACCTCCTCGACGGCTCCATTTCCCCCCTTTCCCACCCCCAGATCCTCTCCGGCTCCATTTTCCCGCCTTTTTCCCGCCTTTCTCCCCCTCCCGCATTCCCGGTTCCCACCTGAGGCTGCAGACGAGCTCCTGGAAGCGGGGCCGTTCCCCGGGATCGTAGTCCCAGCAGCGGGTGAGGAGGGTGTAGAGGACGGGCGGGCAGAGCTCGGGTTTGGGCAGGCGGTCGCCGCGCTCCAGCACCCCGATCACATCCCGGTTTTCCAGCCAGAAGAACGGCTGCTTCCCGAGGCTCAGGATCTCCCACACGCACACGGCTGCGGCGGGAATGCCGGGATTTCCCGGGATCGGGGAGATGGGGAGGGGGGGTGGGGTGGGAGGTGAGGTGGCTCAGAATTCCCGATGAGAGGGCGGGAAGGGAAGAGGGAAGGGAGGCGTGGAGAGCAGGGAAGAGGGAATTTAGGGATGGGAAAGGGGGCAGAGGAGATCCAGAGGCCACGGGAATGGGCAGATGGGTATTCCCAGGGAATGGGTGGATGGATAATTACAGGGAATGGGTGGATGGATATTCCCAAAGAATGAGTGGATGGATAATTACAGGGAATGGGCAGATGGATATTTCCAAGGAAAGGGTGGATGGATATTCCAGGGAATGGGTGGATGGATATTCCCAAGGAATGGGTGGATGGATACTTACAGGGAATGGATGGATGGATATTCCCAAAGAATGAGTGGATGGATAATTACAGGGAATGGGTGGATGGATATTCCCAGGGAATGGGTGGATAATTATTCCCAGGGAATGGGTGGATAATTATAGGGAATGGGGGGATGGATAATTACAGGGAATGGGTGGATGGATATTCCCAGGGAATGGGCAGATGATTATTCCCAGGGAATGGGTGGATAATTACAGGGAATGGGGGGATGGATAATTACAGGGAATGGGTGGATGGATATTCCC